GCGTACTTTTAAATGGCATTATTAAGTCTTTTTATCCGTCGTCATCTTCATTTTCCTGCTTTAGAACGAACGAACAATTAGCACTGCATGAACGGAAAAGATTATTTTGGCATTTGAATACTTGCTGTCGGTTGCTGATATGATATAATGATATGATAGATATAATATAACGTGATAAGAGCATTGATCAAGTGATGTTTTTGATAATGGATTCGTTCATTCAGCATGTTCTCGTTCTCTTCCTTGCAACAACTATCATTCAGAAAATTACACGTGAACGTAATTGAAAGTAACCATCAAAAACAATTCAGAATCTAACAAGATTGTCTAGAAAGCAACAAATCAAGCATACACTAAAGTATGCATCTCATATCGCCAATGCAGCATGAAATCATCATCAGCAGCTGAAACTTTAAATCTGCATTCAATTTTCAAAGGAAACCATCCAACGAAATACTAATAACGAAACCATCGACACAAAGATAAACTGCTCTTTCTGTTGAAATGATCCTCTATATTGTTGAATGACTTGCGCTTACTTTTGTTCTTTTCTTTCCAACTTTTCTTCATTTTGACGTATTTCAGTTCTCACTCAGCAATCATTAGGTAATGTAATTCTAAAATTATTTGCCGAATTTTCTTCTAAAATATTACCAACCATCACCATCATCATGCCTAATATACTAAGAAGCCTAAGTAGCTGCAGTAGTAGCAACAAATCGAGAGATCTTTAATTTCGAAAGTTGCAAGAACGTTCACAACGGTCAGTAAATCTCCAGCATTATTATTATTATGATAATAGTAATAATAATTATTTTATACATAATATGATAATAATATTTTTATTTTATAATTTTTGCTAATAATTATTATTCTATAATAATATTATTATTATTATTGTTATTATTATTATTATTATTCCTATATTTATTTTATTGTGTTCATATCTATGCACTTATTTATTTGCTAATCTTCTCAGTGTTTTTTTTAACCGACGACGTCGCAAGAGGTTGACAGATGTGTAAAAAACGATGATGTTGCTTCACTTGCTGCTGCATATTGCTGCGTGAAGTTTGTTGAAAACGGATTTGGTGAGTTGACCCCAGCGAATAGATAAAATGTAGAGGCAAACAAAGAGGTCAACGATTGGCTAATCCGACAAGCAGAGATCAAGTGAGAATGAAGAAAGCGCAGACAACGACGTTAAGTTAAGTTTAGCACTTAGCAATGGTGGATTGATAGATGGATAGATGATAAACGCATAAGATAGATGTGCTTTATGAATGTGTGATGGATTTGTATCATCATCTTCATATCGTAAATGAAAAACGCATAACTTTTATTTATGGTATAATTAATTAATATAATTGGCTGAATGAGTAATGACTGAATAATAATCCTAATTTATTTTTTATTTGTGAACAGAATGATACTTTACTCGTTTGTAACTTGTAACAAATTGCTTTTGATGATTATATTCGTACTTTTTTATACATCACATTTTTCCTATCATTCATTTAGATGTATCACATCCATTTTAACGCTACAGTGCTGCTACTTTACTGTTTGAATCGTTATCTTATTTCGTGCTTTATTACCTTCAATAAATTTCTAATGGATTAATCAATTAATTAATTTGTTTTATTTCTTTTCACCCTATGAATAATCCATTTCGTCATTTTGTTTCAAGAGTTAGTGTATTGCAAGGACCGGCAAATTTTGGGGACACCTTTCCCGATTCCTTGTCCAAGCCTCCGACAAGCCGACCGCATTTTCTGGGTTTCCGACTGCGAAATTTCGTTGCTAACTTTCCCCGAGTTTTTTTTCCGTGCCCACGATACACTAGCAACAATCGTAGTCTCGTTATTTATCAAGCTTCAAAATAAATGTAAGCATCAGCCCAACATTCGCAGCAGTAATAAGGAATCAATGTTTAAAGCTCGCATCACTCAAAATTCACCCTTCTTCATTCCACTCAAATACATCATCATCATCATCACCATCATCCATCTTATTCAACCCCGTTTAGCCCTTTGCCGTCGCTAGTCCCCCTGTTCCCATTTCCTTTCTTATCTAGAAACGCATTCCAACCCAATCAATCATCAAACTGATCTATGCTTTATCTCCATATGCTATTTACTTAATCAATTCCATCATCTTTAATCCTATTAATTTCATAAGCTCCTCGTTTTCATTTTTTCTCAATACTCTTAATAATTCTTTAGATATTTTTTGGAATATTTTTGAATTTAAATACTTTTTGACAGTTAAACACATAACATATATGGCACATAAAACTGAATTTTAGCTGAATTCACCTCATTCGAATATGAAATGCTGCTACGTATGGAATCATAACATATTCTGTTTTCAAAAATGGGAAGAGTTTTTGTAGAACTATTCCAAACCTACTCACAAAAACACTTATGAATAAACTTCTTTTCACATATTTAATACTTGTTAATTAATGGCGTCTCACTTGTTAACTGACCTATTACGAGAAAACTCATCAGTTCTAAGCGATAATATGAAATCACCTAATATCGACTGAAATTTTACGCGGAACAATGGCTAACAATAGTTGTATTCAACTGTCTGCTGTTATCCGTCTTTTTTGAAAAAATTGTTGAGAGTACGGTGGTACTTCGGTTTGTCATCGCAATTCGTTGCGAAATATTGTGCATTGAATGAATACCGATAAAACAAGGTTCCACTGTAAAGGTTGAGTGAATGTAATGCAGTAGTAATATGATACGCTTAATGATTGATCTATTAAGTGCTTCTTATCAATAGACGGTTGGTTGCATTTGCACTGTGTTCGTGATTATTATTCACTTTATAGGATCATTAATCTTTGCAAGTGTTGTTCTATCCAATTAATTTAAAGCAATAAATATGTTTAATGTGCACATTAAAAAGTCACTATTTATTATTC